GCTCCCGCCGCACATCCCTCAGCACTGCCTCGCCTGGTTCCCTCCAGTGCCGCCCCTCGCCTCAGTACCCCGTCCCGGCCCAGTGAGGTGTAAGCTTCTAAAGCACCGGCCAGGCTTAAAAATACCTGTATCTCCGATTTTTCTTCCTTGCTTAACTCCTGTTGCAGCCATCCCGCATGACTTCTGCGCGCACTTGTCTGAGCCGCCCTGCAGGCAGACAGTGTTGCCCTGACCAAAACAAGTTCAAGAAAACTTCAATGCCTGACCTCTTCTGGAAGTTTTTTCAGCTTACTCTATTTTGCACCTTTTCTGTAGTCACTCAGCTCTCTTTCTCTACTCCTGCAGTCGCTGTCAAGAATATCTTGCCTTATGTTCATGTGTTTCTATATTTTTAATTTATTTTTAACTTTGTGCATTGTTGCGGAGTTTACAACTGTAGCCAAACCCCCAAGTTTTTAATGCCTAATTTTCATACAGAAAGGAATATAATTTTTTTTTAAAGCTTTATGGAACGTTCATTGCATTCAGCTGTTCCACAAAACTTTAAAAAAAAAAATATTGGCATTCAGCAATGCAAAAAGGTAATAGCCAGTACTTGTCTGTAATAAGCACTCTGATGTTCCTCAGAGTTTCTCATTCCTTTAGTTCTGTGCAGTTCCATGTGATGAATAAGTAACATTTTTTGAAAGTGAATTGTTGAACTTTAAAGGTGAATTGGCAGTTTGTGAATGAAGGAGTGTAAATAGCAGTGAGCTAAAAATATGCTAACTTGTTAGAAGAGCAGTTCCCAAAGGTTAAGTGGAAAAATTGGGAAGTGGGCCTAAAAATCCTTAAACGGCAAAACGTGAAGTTTCTGGTATGTCTTTCCAGAACTAGAAATGCTTTACTAAATATGTGAATTGCTGAGTGTTAACACTGCTCATCCTAAGCTTAGGATCAGCTGTCAGAAACTGACTAAAATCAGCGTGCTGGAGCTGGGCTGGGCGGCGTTCTACTCCAATACCTAAGGATTGGAACGTTCAGAAAAATTATCTTTGATGTTGTGATAGTTAATTTTGAACTGTAAAACTAGTTAATGTTAACTCATCATAGGGAGCTTCTTAATTAGCATTTGTGGGTTTGTTTCTGCCTTTTTCAGGTGCCCAACTCTATGCACAAATGGTAAAGGCACCCAGAGATGGGCAGGGTGTGAATAGTTTGCAGGTGTTGTGTTAGAAGCTGCTGTATCTTCAGGTTTCCCTCACCACAGGAAGCTACTTCTTTGCTGAGGTAAGGTGCTGTTTGTCAGCTGGCGAAAACACTTTAGCTTGCTCTCTGGGAGGCCGTGTTTCCCAGCTTCTCCTGTCTGCCATCCCACTTAACAGCAAATTTAGGAAAGAAAGCTATTCTGCCGCATTATTTTTGAAGCATGTGTCACTCTAGCTATGGGGAACCTATGTGTTTAATTCTGGATCATGTTTTCTGCTGCAGGTTCTCCATCAAAAATTTAGGTGTTTAAATACTACAAATACTGTATAAAGACTTTTAAAAAATATATATATAAATACCATATAGCTTCTGAGAGGAGTTTTTCTGCCTTATTTGCTTATCTCCACATTTCCATATGTACAGTTTCCTTCAGAGGTTTGCATTAGTTTGCAACAGATATGGTATTCCATGAAACAGTCTTGTTACCAAATAGTAGCAATTGTAATAGACCTGTGTTTCTTGTGGGTTTTTTTCAACATAGCACAGGGTAATGTATTTTGGGGCTTACTGGCTTTTTTTCTTGTACAATTGATGGGTGGTTTTCCTCATTTTCTGATACCTTAGTATTGGGTATTTTTTAATCTGTGACAGTTCTGTGACTTTCCTGATGGTTCACGCATTAGGTATATTCTTTTTGGTTTTCTAAGGATTTGCTTATATTTATTCTGTCTGCTTTATTTCCCTTGTCTTATCTATATGGCCAATGCAAAGAATGGGGTAGTTGACAAACTCCCAAAGTCAGCTGACTCCCATGAAGAGCAAATTGAACCAAAGGTAACTTTTCTTGTGTATCTTTTTTTTCTGTTTTTATTTTCTTCTATTATTTTGTAAATTGGATTTGGAAAGGATTTCTGCCTGCTAGCAGTCCTTACATCAGTAGTAGCAGATTTGTGGCAGCATTCTGGATGGCAAATTGTTATGAAAAGGAGGTTGGTGATGCCAGAGTAAGTTCAGCTGATTCATCTCTGTGCTTCTTTTGTTCTCACGCTGGACGTGAGCATTTGGAGAAGAGATGATGCTGTGGCATGTTTTATTGCAACTCTTCTTCAAATTATTGCTGCTGTAAGGATTAATGATAAAACATTAGCAGTCCAAATACTGTTCTTTAGTTCACAGGCCTGCAGCATCAGTGTGAATTGTATGCTATATGCAGCTCAAAAATGGTGTACAATCTAGGTGAACTGTATTCCTGGAAGCATGAGGCAAAGTACCTTGTGTTCTATCATATCCCAAGGTACAGGTAACTCTGTATAAATGTTAAGTTTGTTCAACATTATTGTTGCTGTTGTAGGAGCCCTTGGTTGATTGATGGTGCACTCCACAGCAAACCGTGTTTGTAATTACAGATTTCCTAACTTCAGGCTATGATTCTAGCTACTTGGAGAAGAGACTACAGCATATAACACTCTCCTACTTTTTACTGTTTCTTGCTTACTGTTCTTCCTAATTGTTTTTGTTTTTTTTTTTGATTGTGGGTAGGAGGTAGGAATCATTAGTAAAACTCTAAATACTAGCCTTTCATTAAAATTAAAAACCTAATCCTGAAATGCTGCGGTGAGACTTTTTTTAGGAGAATTTGATGAGTAGTATGTGCCCAGGTTTTGTGATGTTTTGAAAGGGCTGTGATGTATCTTATTATTTGCTTTTTGTTTTTGCATGATGGTGTGGGTAGTCCTTCCTTGGAGTTCTTGAACACCAAGAATACAATGTTGTACACCATTACAAGGAACTGAGAAGCGCAGTTGGTTTTCGCTTGGTGGCTGCCATTTCCCTTTAGCATCTCTTCTGACTAGTTCTAGAAGCTGCTGTTCCAAGAATTTCTCAGTCTTATCTCCTCCTAGATTCTTCTTGAAGTTGTTCTAGTATGTTTACTTTCTATAGAGTAGCACCTTACTACCTGACTGAATTAAAATACGATATTCCAAGTGGTCCAGAGCGTTGTTCCTTACATTGTGTTTCTTGAATTTGTTATTGGTAAAGTTGACAGAATTTACTCTGATAAGGTAGAAGAATTTCTAGGGCTGTTTTGTGCAAGGAAGAATGATAGTTGTGTGGCATAGGGCATGGTATTCCAGCTTCTGTCTGCATGACTTATTTGAAAATTCAGTTTCCTCTGTATAACT